TAAAAATAAGAGAATATATATATGCTACTATTTGTTGTAATTTTTATTTTTGTAGCAAACAAATGAAAAAAAAATTAGATTATTATTTTTAATTTTCTTATGTTACATGTGATTCAAATATATAATATTTATATTTATTTTTTAGATATAATTAGTTAATACTAAGATTTTTAAGATAATTTACATATTTTATACATAATTAAATTAATTTTATTTATATTTTAATTATGCAATCACAAATTTTATTTATCGTACCAAAAAGAATTTATAAACATATATAACTAGAGTTAGATATAAAATTGAAATAAAATTAGTCTACATTTTCATTTGAATTTCTATTATATTTTTGTTCTTATCTCATATGATTAAAATTTGAGCTGAATCAATATTTAAAATAATAAAAGTTGAATTATTGAATCATTTTAAATGTAACCGAGATAATATTTTTAAATTTAATTTAATAGAATTTAGAATATTATACCGTGCCAATTCGAAGTTTTTTTAAGGGGTTTAAACCATTTTTTTTAATTAAAAATTATAATTTTTTATATGAATTCTCTGAATAAATTTAATTTACTACAAACATAACTTTAAACTTTTATTTATCTTTTCATTTTTTATATTATATCTAATTTATTATATTTATTTACCTTAAATAAATTTAATGAACTTATGTAACTACAAACGAAGATTAAAATAAGTTTTGAATTCATATTATAAATTAACTTATTATACTAACTTTCAAAGCAAAAATATTGATATTTTAGTAACATTCCAGATAACTCTTCAAATTGGAGTTCTGTCCGAGGTAGTAGAGACTGTGATAACTGCTGAATTTTCTACTATTATATGGATAACTGTGTGAAGTGATAAATTTTATAGTTTTAATGGATACAAATTGTAATAGCCTAGATATATGAGGGAGGGTAGGATGGACGACTGGGATTATATAGGCATTCAACCGTCAAGCTTTGAGGTTGGGCTGGGTATAAAAAGGGGGTCAGGCAGAGAAGAAAAAGAGGGGAAAATAGAGAGTGAACGAGAGAGAGAGGAAAACAAAGAGAAGGGAAAAACAGGGAGTGCACGAGAAAGAGAAGGAACCGAGTTACAGTGAGAGACGATTGACCGGAAGTTTCTGGAAAAAGTGAGGTCGTAATAGATTTTGTGAGACAGAGTAGCATAGAAGCGAGAGGTAAGAAGAATTTGGAATTTCAAAATTATTTATGGCAATGCATTGTGTATTCTTTTGTTTCATGTTAGTTAAGGTGCACCGAGATAGAGAGAAAGAAGTAGTGAGGTGATTTAAATGTGGAGGTGTGATTGAAGGTTGAAACCTAAGAAAGAAAGAAAGAACGGGTCGATTGAACCATAAGGATGAACAACGGTTCTAATAGGTAGGGGTGTACCGTATGTGAGAGAGTGAAGAGTGGAAAGGATTCCGAGTTAGAGTTGTATAGGCTATAACAGAGTGTTTGAAAGGGGAATCAGTGAGTAACCGAGAGCTAAGGGGGATGTGAGGTCTATACACATTGGAAATTGGAAAATAAGAAGAAAGGTAGATGAAGTAGTGGCCATTCATTGGTCAGTAGCTAGCTATGTAGGTGCGCAGGTGTGTGAGGCCATTTGGCCAATGTTTGCAGGTTCTGGTGTGCCGGTACGATGATTAGTGGCATGTAGTGTGTGTATATATTGATGCATGGGTGTGTGAGGCCATTTGGCCGATGCTTGTAGGTTTTGGTATGCCGATGTGGTGAGTGGTGGCACGCAGTGTGTGTATGGCCACTCAGTGGTCGATAAGGCACTCATCTGGTCAGGTATGTGTGAGGCCGTTGGTCGATATTGGCAGGTTCCGAAGTGGCCATTCAATGGTCATTTGATGCTGGGATGGTGGTGTGTCGGGGGTGCCAATATGATGATGTGAGGTGCTGGTGCACATGGCTACTTTGTGGCTGACATTTGTTTGTTGTGGTTGTTGTTGGGGTGAGACCCAGGATGCAACAATGGTGTGTGTGTGTGTGGTCCTTTTAGGCCAGTGTTTGCAAATTAGAATGTGAGGAACTAGTTGTTTGTGTTGGGAGGTTGCATACGTGAGTGGTCTTGACTGGTTAGTT